AAATCTTACATAATTTTATAGGTACAAAAGTTACTATCAAAAAAAGGATTTCATTTCTTCGAGATGTTCTTCAGAATCCCTCGATACGGCTGCGATGTTTTAATGTAAAAGAAGTCTTTAAAATGCTGTGCATCCGCACAGAAATTGAACCAACGTGCCGCTTTCTCGACTCGCGAAGCGGTGATTGGCTTATGAATTCAGAAATTTGTCAAAAATCTTATTCCGAATTAACGGCTCAATACTTTTCACGAGGTCAAGATATCGCAAAAGCATTGGACGACGATTACACTACTCATAGGTTCAATCCTTCTTCTAAAGCTGCTGCAAAAGCTCTTTTAGCTTGATACCTCACTGATGAAATAATGGTAACAATGAAAAATTACAATCCCGCATTGTTATCGGCTTACAATAGTATGTATAATTAATTTTCATTTTAAAAAATTTTGGTTTTGCGTTTCACACCACTAGGTTACGTGCATTTGTGATTACGTTTCACACCACTAGGTGGCGCCTGCCTGCGAGCGTCGCTCCCATAAGCGACCGAGCGCTGATGAGCGTATATAGGCAGGCAGGCAGGCGTTATAGTCCATTCGTGTATAATGCAATCCCCTGCGAAAATAAAACATTAAAAATAAAATCAATCTAAAACGAAATAATTCAAAGTTATAATTTTACTTTTTGACTATACTGGTTGGCTCCTCCTCCTTGATCTGCACGGTGTCTATGAATTCGCTGAAAAAGAAAGAAATATCTAAATGTTTTATTGCAATTATACATTTTTTAAATTTTTTGAAAGATTATAAAAATTTGTAAGAATTAAATAAGAGCTTGAAATAGACCGAAGCAAACGGTGGGGCAAAGTAATCACAGCTCAGGGACGTGCGAAATAAAGCATAATATATATTCGAAACTTTGGTTTTGGGACTTTCGTGATAGAATGATGCCAAACTGCGCAGTGCGTACTGCACACACATTACGTACAGCTCAATGCAAGAGCTTACTGTAGAAAAAGTTGAAAAAGTCGAGAAATACTCTCGACACTTTTTTCTCGGCTACCGTACGGTACAATATGCGCGCGACGTGCTTGTGCGATCGAACTTTTTGCGCCACATGGAAAAAGGCCCAAGAAAACACGAAGCCGCTGCCGCTGCCTTGCACGCGCATTATAATATAACGGTCTCGCTGTGCGCTCCCACGAGTCTCCAAAAACTGCGAAAGCCGCGCGCGAGCTCCTCTCCGGATGATGCTTGGCAAAACAATAAGAAAACGTACAGACATAATACGTATGGTCTTACTGCTACCGTTGCTGCAATGTAGGACCGAGGTGGACCCTGCGCTCGAGCTCGAGCTCTCCATACTGTGGCACCACACGCGCCGCGCATGTTCCATGTTGCGTCGAAAGTGAAAACCGTGTCGTTGTCGTCGATTTAAGCCTGATAATCGTTTTATGCTTTTTATGCAGGCCCATGTGTATGTTTATATGTGTGTGTGAGTTTACAAGGGAGGACTCGAAATTTCGCAGCTCTTTTCTCGCGCGTGTTTCGTCTGTTGACACGACGGCGGCGAGAGAAGCAGCAACTCTGATCGGCAGAAAGATCGCCGAAAGATCTAGCGGCAATTTCCCTACTTGTGACGCTCGAGCTTGTGTGATCTTGGCGAATTTCTGGAATGTACGCAAACTTATGTAGCAATTTTATTCGTAAAGTGTGCGTATAAGCATACGTATAATACTCGCGCGAGTTTAAAATATTGACTAACATGCAGTGCGATCGCGAAGTGCAATGTTATTTTTCAATTTAAGTTTTTCCATAGAGCACACATCACACACACTGCAAGCCCGAATGAAACTCGAACAAAAATAAAGACTACTATTCGTGCATGATATACGTACAGAGTATACGAAGGCAAAATCCATGCGTGCGTTTTACGATCTACGGAATAGGGAATACAACGACTTATAAAACATATTGTTAAAAAATGGTGCTCAACACTGTACCGTTTTCTCTTTCGATCGAAAAAAAATTCTGGTAATTCGTAAAGGTTGCCGTCATTTTTCGCTGCGCGCAGTACAACGAATCATAATAACGTATGCTCGTAAACAGACAGCTTTTCGCGTATTTGTTTTCCCAAAATGTACGTAACAACAGCTCGAGAGCTCCTTACATAAAGTAATAGTTACAATAGTAATGGCAATGGTTATCGCTATGTTAATTTACTTCTTAATCGCGAATTGAAAAAAGTCAAGAAAATTATGTAATTTTTTGATAATGACAAATCTCAAAAATCAAATTTTCCATCTCTAAAACTCTTACGTATAATATTAGCAGAGCATTTTCAAATGAATTGAAGAGTCATAAAATAATAACATAATTCCAATTTGAGCATAATTTTTTAACTATACAGTTATTGTAATTTTTTATGTCAATAATGTAAAATAAATTTGTGTAACGATGTAATCGACCCGAATTTATATAAAGTTCAAAACTCACTATATGTTAAAAAAATTAGCTATAAAACTTTTACTCTGTCTTCTTTTCATCCCTTAGATTAAGATATGGTGGAAGATTTTAGTACTTCTGATGCATAAACTTATAAAATTAGTTTTTTTTTTTTTATATTTGCCGTTTTGACATTAACTTATAAAAGAAGTGATTAAAATGTTACCCGATCATTGTTATATCAAATAAAACGAGCACTTGGAAACATTTTCTCATTTATAAACAGCGACGACACATGGGTGGAACTAGATAAAAATGCAATCATTTTCTATGTTGACAATTATTAGAGCCGTACGACGTCTTGATATAATAATCAAATTAATCCAATTTCGGCACTATTTGAAAACCTATTTTAGTTATTGTGGTAGATAATGCCAATTACGACTGTTAGATATCACATGTCTTTCCGTAAACGATATAGTCACATTATTCTCATAAGAAGTTCAAGATTTCAATATTTGAGTTGGATTAAGTTTGCATAGGTCAATGCAATATTTTTTGGAAGTCGCGAAAGTCAGGACTTTCGCGACCATAATCTAAATCAAAAATAAATTCTTATACGAGGCCTAGCAGGCAATGACAAGGATAAAAAGTTTATCGTATTGTCTCCTTTGGAAGTAACTATTGAAAAATTAATTTTCCGATTGATATCTGCGAATTGCGGCATTAATTATTGAAATTAATAGAAATAGAATGTCCTTCGATCGTTGTAATGTAAAATAAAATAAACCTCTATAAAAATTTTCTCATTTAAAAACAGCGACGCCGATTAATAATAAAGTACAAATTCTCGATATAATAATAAAATTAATTCAATTCGATACTGTTTGAGAACATACTGTATAGTTATCGTTGTTTATTATGCCAACTACAACTGCTAGATGTCGTAAGGCTTCACGCGAATGATATATAGTCGATCTGCTCAAATATAAAGTTCAAGGACCTGACAAATCGGTATCACTTATTTCGTCGTTTCTTCGATTAATTATTTGTATTCGTTAAATTTTGTCAAACTTTGAGGTGCTTTGCAAAACGTTCTCTATGGCTAACAGATTTCCTTGCCGCATACGAGATTGACTCTTCCGTATACAGCTACTAACTTTGAGATCAATTTCACCGTATAACATTCTTTATAATGTACGCAATGGCAGCTCGAATCATCGTAACGTAAAATAAAATATTAGCGCGCGAAATTTCACTCACGCGTACAATAATACATGTGCGGCTCGCTGCAGTACCATCTTAAGCATTTTTTGTGTATTAAATTATCCTTAAACTTTGGATTTGGTTTTATTAGATATTAATATTCGTGCGGAGTGCGCGCGTGCCGGGCCCGCTGCGTGTGATTGACTTTTGCGTATACGCGCGTGACAACTCACGCAAACGCACGCGTGTGATACGGACGCTGCGTGATACCATCAACCCGAGCGAGTGAGAGGCGCGAATGATTGAAAACACGCGTATGTAATATCTGTTCCTCGCATTTTCGGTGCAACAAAGACGCGTGAGCGCGAGACAACAAGGGAAAAATCTCCGATCTTAGCAACTATATAGTAGCTCGAAATATCTAATGGAAATCTAACTCGTTAATCGTGCCCGCGCGGTCGTGTGGGCATGTTATACGGCGCGCGAGCATCGATCAATCATAAACGAAAATCTCTTATATGTGTAGTATATACTACGCCACGAGGCGTTTGGCACGTTCCTTGGCACGTCTCCTCATCAACGTCAATCTCTATCTTTCGCGCCTCTATAACACACAAATATACAGCTCTCGGTGCGAGGAAAATATCGCAAACCTTGCACTTGAATTTTGTTTTCATTTCCACGAGACGCGCTCGCATAGCGATCGCTAGCGCTGCGATTTTTTGAAACGCCGAAGCTCTCCGTACAGCCAAGACCTATAAATTATAATTTGATTTTCGTTTTATCGACGATGCGCCGCGTCTTAAGGTATATTGTCTCGTACTTCCCACTCGCGAAACTTCGATCCGCCCTCCCCGAGTTGACTCCGCTCGGAGATGATTTGCTGTACGCGCAAGAGAAATTTCAATGGTACATTATATACGCGCGCAATTGTGATGTAATTGTTTGACAATTCTTTTTTATTACTTCTGCGAGGGAAGATGATAATGCATATCTGCGCGGAGGCACGATGATCGAATATTCGAAACAAAGCTACGCGCTCACTATCTTATCCGATGATTCTTTTGGAAATCGGCGGATATTTTTAGCAGTATATTTTTATTTTTAACCACGTTTTTGATATTTCGCAATCGTTTATTTATCCAAATCCCGAAACTTCACGTAACTCTGTAGTGCATCGACTCCGATCTCTCAATATCAATCGCATATTAGAGCGAATATACGATAATTTTTTTGGGATACATAATTTTTCAATAATGACCCCAGAAGATTTCATTGTCTTCGTTAAACTCGACATTCGTCACGTTCCTCTCAATCGCTGCAATTCTTCCGACACATATAAAAACGTAATTGTAACTCGAGTAGTGGTCAGTCTAAATCGCAGCGTCTTCTCGTTCTCACTCAATTCGGCAGTAAAGTGTAACAATGAAGCAGCAAGTCGTTCTTTTCCTAGCCTTGGGAGTCGCAGCTTGCCACGCCGCTGGGCTCTCTATACCGAATATACCGGTCAGTTTTAACGTCGCATTCAGTGCGCTGTCAATATCGCAACGCAGTGCTACAACTAATCGGTATTTTGTTTCCGCATATATGTACAGGAAATCGAAGTGCAGGGCAAGATACAGTTGAACTCGACGGGCAATAATCCTGTCAACGCAGTGACGCAGATCGGAGAGAAAATCGCCCCTGCCCTGGCGAAGAGTGGCAGTACGGTCGCGGAAAATATCCACGATAAAGGGACAACTATAACGAGTACCGTAAAGCAACCACTTCAAGTGCTCAGTCTATGGGAGGCCATCGTAAGTTTTATTCGTTTTCTTTCCGACCAAACCAAATGAAACTTCATGTCAGCTCTATTATCGTTGGCCAACTTCTGACCGCTGTAACAACTACCTCTTCTTCTTTTTAGAAAAATGCTATCGAGTGCATTGTCAAGTCGTTCTCGGCGAAATTTGCTTCGTTATTCCACTAACTTCGTCTGTTTCAATTACCGAAATCTACTCTCCAACAAGAAAAAGGCAGATTTTGAATTTGTGTATTTGTAAAAATAAATCAAATTGGATGTTTCAATAAAAGCAAACGTAACATTCCGTAAGAACTCGCTGTAATCATTTCATCCTCGAGTTTACGCTCGGATTACCTCGAATATCGCATGCGCGCAAAAGTTCTCAATTGTGTATACTTAACATTCATACAAGCGGCGCGCGAGAGCAAAAGTTGGAGAAAAAAAAAATATCACTTCGCGCTCACGACACGCAAGCAGCAACAGCAGCCGACTTTCAAGCGGCATATGAAATTCGACTTTCGCTCGCTGAAGCGCAAGTACACATCTAGGAGCAGTTATAGGTATATATAGAACCGGTAGCTGGGATGGAGCAGCTGCGCGCATCGATCGATATTATATGAAGCTCGAGACTCGAAAATCGTTTCACCCGCGCGCCCATCGCTCGTCTTTTTTAATTTTGCTGCCGCGTGCCGATTGATAAGGAGAGAAGGCAGCAGCCCCGCAAAGGTCACGCGCCGAAAGAGAAGAAAAGAAAAAAAAGCAGTGCCGAGGCAAATTGGAGAGTCGCGTACAGTTGCCCGCGCATAGACATTTGATGCTATGGCTCGAGCTCGAGAGTTGTGTGCTGCTCCGATCCGAGAGAGAAGATGCGGATGGTTGATTGATGTGTCGGGTTCGCGGGCAATTATCTCGACGAGAGAGAAAGAAAGAAAGAAAAGGAGCCTCGCGATCGCGAGCTTCCACCGATGCAGCCGCAACCCAGCCAATGAATTATGTATGTGTGTTTCGGACTTGTGTATTTATATTTGTCGATCTGTGGCTGTTGCTGTTGTTGTATTACAAACGCCATTGGCATTATTAGAAAGTGATATTTGCTATTTATTTTATTATAGCTGAAAGAGAGATAGAGAGGGACTCGCTATCAGATTTTGGGAAGTAAAATGCCACGTTTCTTGGCTGCTGATGCTGCTGCTGCTGCACACTGACTGATTCGCTCGTTCGCCACTTCAATTTGTTCGCGCGCTCCATAAGCTGTGTGTACATTATATATTATCCGAATAAATAATTCGTGAGAATTTCGACTGTACAATAGATTATAAGCGATAAAAAAATTTGTGTCGAGGAAAATTGAAAAAGAAGAGAGGGAAAAATTGCATGAATTTTTTTATTTATGCTCGATCAAGCTCGCGGAGTAAAGTCAACGATCGAGGAAGTATCAGCAGCAGCAGCAGCAGCAGCAGTTGAGAAAAAAAAGAAGAGCACAAAGCGGGCGATAGTAAACTCGGCGCAGGCAGATCCGACGGAGAAAATGTATACTTTCTTCCTATCGCGTATGGAAAAAAAAGAAGAATCGCGCGCAAAACGTGTGATTAGCGATCTATATGGTAGCGAGTGTATATATACAGGAGGAATATCGCGCAACGTTTCATAATACGCGTGTATATAAACATACTTGCCATGTTACATACTCGCGCGTGGCTCGGCTTGGCTCGGCCCAGCCCGGTCTGGCGCGATGGATGGCTATTGTCATGAGAGACTACATCCGTGCACGAACACAAAAGTATATAGGATATGGAGTACGAAGAAGAAATGTAGTACGATATGCATGCACATTCTAGGATGTACCCACGCTCGGATCCCGTTGAATTTATAAATCCATTTGTCCGATTGCGTGTACGAAGATGACGACGACGAAGAACTATTATTCTTTTCTCGCATCGAGTAAACTACAGATTTTTTCAATATATCAAGGAAAGAGGAGTTGCGATTATAATATTCAAACACGATTTACTGATTAGCAATTTCTTTAAAAAAAAATTTTTCAAGTTTGAGACTAAAATATCGATTGACATTTTTGTCGTTGACATTATTGAAAACATTGTAAACTCTCCATTGATTCTTTTTTGTGTATAATACTTAAAAATACCTAAAAATCCTTAACAATGGACTTGCAAATGAGCATCAATAGTTTTCAAGCAAATCAGTCCTAATAGACGTAAATAAGTGGTTGAAACAAAGCTTGCATAGCTTAAGACGAGAGCAGTGCGAAGAAAAGTTACGAGCTATTATAAAATTGACATTAAGTCAAGGCGATTAACATTTTATTGGCTCTCAATAAATAATGGGCTTTATTTTCATCTAAAAGTTTATTGATTATTTTAAAACTTGAACATTGCTTGTACAAAATGATATAAGGTTTAAGAAATTAATGTTATGAAAAAAAATTATTAAGTTAGTCTTCAAAAAATGTATATCATATTTTAAACATTAACTATTAACTTTTAATGCGTTGGTAATGCGCCGACTCATTTGATTTCATTGCATCCAAATGTTTCGGAACAAATCTTTAGCCACTTCTTTACTGCGTTCATGTACTGAATTCAAGTGTCTATTTCAGCTAGATCTTTGTCCAAATGATTTGAGGCAAATGTCACATTCAAAAGATTTGTTACGATCACGTATTGCATTTACAAGTTTTTTTAAATCGCCCTTACGGCTATATAATTTGTGACAAATAACACATTCGAAGGGTTTGCTACCATCATAAACTATCACTATGTACTTATTGAGGTCACCCTTGTATCCAAATGATTTGTGACAAATATCACATGTAAAGGGTTTACGACGATCATGTACTGTCATTTTGTGATTATTGAAGTCACCCTTGTATCCAATTGACTTGTGACATATATCACACTCGAAGGGTTTACTATGATCATGTACTCCATTGATATGTGACAAATTTCACATTTATAAGGCACAATGCTCTTATGTGTCATAGCTAATTTTTTCCTCTTTGCTTTTCATCACTCGCTCAATTGTATTTAATCGCTGTGAATTTTCACAATTTGCACTGAGCAAATATTCGAGGTTGTGTGCCTCGAGCGACCAACACTGTACGTCGAATTTATAAACACTTGCTCGAGAATTTAGCATTGCGTTAGCGACCGAACGCACACTTGTATGAGGCAATGTGTCCTATAAGAAATCCGCTAGAGAGTAGATGCACCGATAGCTGTGCTCTGCTGTTTTACTATATCTATTGCTTCCTCATAGAGGAAGCTCTGTGATAGGCTCGAAAACGAGATTTTGAACCAGACCTCGTAGGACAATTTGGTTTATATATTTGGAAACTACATTGAATTACCAACAAATGTCTGTATGAGTTTTTGTTTTCTCGGCCTTTTGGCTAACATAGATAGGTCCTGATGGTCGTGATCTAACGTACTTAGAACACTAGGCAGTGAATCAAAATTTAAAAATACGAATTTTCAAGTTAATAACCGATGCCTTTTGTTAATATTATTTTTTATGAGGAAGCTCTTTGCCAATAAATTGGCAGCGGTTTTTTCTAATTGTACCGCCTCCAAAATGACTTTGAACAAAAAAATAAATAGTACCTTACTGCTCTAGATCACGAAAAACAGAAAAGTCCCAGAGTAGTTTCCAAATATGTAAACCAAATTGTCCAACGACGTTCGGTTCCAAATCTCATTTTCATGCCTATCACAGAACTTCCTCTATGAGGAAGCAAAAAAACAACTTTTCATTTCGAGTCGTTAATTTTCATAATATTCGGTGAATCTCTATTTTTTTGGTCTTAAATTAAAGCTTTGCTGCTCTGCTTCAATTGTACCGAAAAAAAGTATAAAAATTCCTTCATTTATACATGAAAAAAATCAAAAAATTTTTTTTCTAAAATAACCAATTTACAGCACGATACAATAAATCATAACTTTTTAACTAATCGATGGATTCTAAAATAAGTTTTTGACGCTTCTTACGACAGACAAATCCTTCAAAAAAAGCCGTACAACTTTTCGCTACGTGTCTCCGTTCAGAAGTTACACTGGTTCCAAAACACACACACACACACACACACACACACACACACACACACACACACGTATCGGCCTCCTTGGCTCAGTGGTTATAGTTCTTGCCTGCTGATACAAGGTACGCCGTAGGGCGTGGGTTCGATCCCCACCGGACGAATTTTCGAGGTTCGTTTTTTCGCCTGGTGTGGTCGAGCCTGTGCCTGAGGTGGAGCGGGTACCACTCAAAAAGAAGACCCGGGCTATGTCATCAGCCTCCGAAGCGGTAAAAAACCCCGATCACTGTGCGAGCTGGAAGCGATAGGAAAACCATAAG